TTTATTTTAATTTATTTTTTATTATTTTTATTTATTATTTATTTTAGATATTTTAAATTTGTTATTTTAAATTAGTAGATTAATTTTATATTTACAAACTAATAATTTAATTTTTTATAATTAATTAGATAAAATTTATTTAATTATATATTATTTTAAATATGTTATTTCGAATTTGTTAAATAATTTTATACTTATAGCCTAATAAGTTAGTTATTTATAATTAGGTGGATTTTTATTTTTTAAATTTTTATTTAATTTTTAATTTTTATTTATTTTACTTTTTAATTTGTTTTGTTTTATATTTTTTCTATTTTTGTTATTGTATTTTTATTTATTTTTTTATTTTTATTTTTTAAAATTATTATTTTTTATTTTTATTTTGTATTTTAATTTTTTTTTTTATTTTTATAATTTTAATTTTTTGTATTTTTTTTATTTTTTTATTTTTTATTTGTTTTGTATTTTTATTTTTATTTTATTTTTTTAATTTTTTTAATTTTTTAATTGTTTGGTATTTTTATTACTTTTTTATTAATTTTTTAATTTAATTTTTATATTTTGGTTTTATATTTTTATTTTTTAATTTTTTTTAGATTTTTTTACATTATTTTTTTATTTTTTAATTTTTTAATTTTTTTATTTTTAATTTTAATTTTTTTACTTTTTGTATTTTTGATTATTTTTATTTGATTTTTTTTATTTTTATTATTTTTGATTATTTTTATTTGGATTTTTTTTATTTTTATTTTTTTATTTATTTTATTTTTTTACTATTTATTTTTTTAGTTTTTATTTTTTATTTTTTATTTTCGATATTTTTTTATTTTTTTATTTTGTTTTTTTATAATTCGTATCACAATCGTTACACGGGTCACGTGATTCAGAATTATGTAATATGTAATGTACTGTTAATAATTACATATTATATTATTCAGATATATATAATGTATAACGTATATTTTTATATATAATTTTTTTTTATTATATATAAAAAATTTTTTATTGTGCTAATAACAGAATGTTTGGAATATAAAGATAGGTGGTGTAACAGTTTTTAGAGTGGGTGGTGTAACAGTTTTTAGGGTGGGTGGTGTAACAGTTTTTAGGGTGAGTGGATCAGGTAATTGTTGTTAAAAAGAGGTAACTATTGTTAAAAGAATGGCATAACTGTTGTTAAAAGGATGGGGTAACTGTTGCTAAAAGGGGAGAGTAACTGTTATTAAAAAGACGAGGTAACTGTTAACTGTTGTTAAAAGGGCTCAGGGTAACTGTTGTTAAAAAGGCGTGATAACTGTTTTTAAAAAGAAGGAACTGTTATGTTATATAATAACAGAGATCTCGAATATGCCCACTTACGCAGGGCATATTACGTGGGGCATATTCGAGATTTCTATTAAAAAAACATGTGACAGCATGACAGCGTGACTAAGCATTGCGCAATATGAGAGGAAACAACAATGTTGTTGTTGATTAATTAACAAATCTACAACTTTTTCTGATATAATAAATATTAATCTAAAACAAACATTTTTTTAAAAAAAATATTAAAATAAGTACTTGTAACTCAAAATTTTATTGATAGTATATTTGGCTAATAGTTATATTACAACTACAGAAGACAATTACAAAAAAGTATACCACTAGTCATTCATACAATTATAGCTATTGTCTAATTTAAGTAGTTTATTCAAAAGTTCTACACTAGCTACTATACCTGGAACCTATTTGTAGATTCTCTATTTAAATACTCTAATTCTGTATTCATCTACTTATTTCTGCCTATCAATAACTCTGATTAATGCCAATGAAAATATGTTATAATCACTAAGTCTTTAAAGCAGTTTACTTATATAAAAAACCTTTGACCTTGTATTAAACCTTTTATAATCTTCTGTATTCTATTCTTATAGCTAATTTAATATTGCTATAGCTAAAAATAATACTAGCAATTAGAATATATTATTAAACTATTATGCTTTTGTAAAGTTTATCTCAATTTTGGTACTGACTTTACAATATATCTCTATTAGTTTGGTATTCAAATCAAGTTTTATCAAGTTTCCAAATCAGATAAACTAAAAAGATAAGTATTTCTGATTTATATGATCTTCTGGCATATACTCTTTTTCTCTAAAATCTAGAAATTCTAACAGTCTAGTTGGTTTTATTTAGTCTCTTTCTAAAGGCCAACTCTTTGCCTAGCTTTACAGATTATATAGTCTGTTTTATAAACTATCTTTACAATAGCATCATTAAAAGTTTAGGTTATCTCTCTACTCAGGTTTTTTAAGTAGGCTTTTGTCTTTTTATCTGATTTCTGTGATTTACATGACCTAAGGACTTATTATAAATTTATACTACCTAGTACTAGTTTGTATTTCTTTGTACAATATTATACAAATGCCTAAACCTTTCAGTTATGCTAGTATAATACAGATTACAAGTATCTAATTTCAACTAATCAAGAAAGGTAGTTAACTATAATACAAAAAAAATTGCAAAGTTTTGCTATTATTGAAATTTAAACTCTAGACCTGTCACTTAAAGATTGATAATCTGTTTACTTCACTAAATTACTATATCTCTTTCTAAAACAAACATTTATCTAAAATAGTATTATAGATATTAGCAGAATTTTTTAAAAAAGAAATTTCTAACATATTTGTAAAACTTCTAAATAATAAAGCCTATAACCCTTCAGTCATAAGCTATAAAATGCTTAAACATGCAAGTTTACTATTTTTTCAAGCTATAACTGCCTTATTTAATAGATGTATTTCAAACAACAGTATATCTAAACAATAGAAAAAAGAAAAAATCTTTTCTATCTTCAAAACACCTATTTTTAACAGAAGTTTAACTAATACCAAACCTATTAGTCTTTTAAAATATATTAAAAAACTATATACCAAACTCTTTAATAATTACTTAAACACTATTTTTACTTTATATCCAATACTATCTTTCTATAACTATATTGTTTTTTCTAATAACAGTATAGCAATACTAATCTATATACTTAACAATATAATCAAAAAACCTCTTGCAATTCCAAAGAACTTTGGTTTATATCTCAAAATATGAGCAAAGCTTATAACTTAGTAAACTCTAAGCTCTTACAAATCTTTAATATAAATTAATATGCTATCTAAATTACTAAAAGTTCTTACTAATTTGCTTAATAACTATTACAACTAAGTTATAACTAACCTTGAACTTATAAATTTATATTTTGTTAAAAATAAAATCAATCAAGAAAAAACAATAACACTATTATTTTGGTATATTTACTATGATCTTTTTATCTACAGAATTGCATATCAATTTATTAGTTATACTCTTTCAACATTATGAAAAACCAGTCTATAATCTCTTTAACATCAACATCTTCAAGTTTCTACTTTAGTTCTTGCTTAAATGAATAACACATTATAAATTGCTTAATCCAAAAATGAGCTAGAACAAATTACTCAAATGGCAGTATTCTTTTACTAAATGGCCAACCTTTAGATTAAATCTACTAAGTCAATATTTGTTACAAATAGCAAACCTATTTTTATTACTTTTCTTAATTCTATTCTTAACTCTATTTTTAACAACCAATCTTTCAAATATTTAGATTGTTGGTTTATACTTAACAATAAATAAACTTATACAATCAAATTAATTTAAGAAAAAGTCTTTCAACTAATTAATATTGAAAACACAAAAAATATTACAGACAAACAAATTACTTTTATTATTAACAAAGTTATTACCTCAATATTAGAATACAGAATATAGTTAGACCTTCTAAATGCATATCATTAAAACCAGCTCTAAGGAATGTATTTAGAAAAGTTGCAATTATAGAATAACCAATCAAATTGTAATAAAGCTATGATTATATGAAACTATATTAGCCAATAATTGGTTATTATATATGTAGCAATATCTTTATCACTATATAATTTATACTCTTAAGTTAATTACAAACTATTATTTAATAATTTAGTTGTTATTTAAGACATCTTTGTATAATATTTGTATAGTATAAACTCTATACATTTTTTAAATTTTTTAAATATAAAACACTTATTAGATTGCAATTGCAAAAAAACTTTTTTTTTATTGTTATAATTTTAAACAACCCTTTAATAAATGTTTATTTATTTAAATTTATTTATATTTACTCAGTATATATATGTATAGACTAAATAGATTATTATATTTTATATATTTTTGTTTGTTCCTTTTATTGTTTTTAAATCAAATCAGATCAGATCAGATCTAGGTTATTATTTTAAAACATTTGAGAATATACATTAATTTATAGATTATTATTTATTCATATTTAAAAGCATTTAGAGAAAAAAAAAAAACCCCTTTCCTGTTCACCTCTGATTAAAAAAGGAAAATAAAAACAACAATCATAAAGTTACTAAACACAAAACAAAACCCAACAAAAAAGTATACCTCAAGAGCCAGAGCCCTTGTACCTAAGAAAAGAAAACTCCCTCTAAGAGTTGAACCTTTATTAACAGAAAAAACTTTTAAAATGCAAAAACTTGACATCAAAAGAGAAGAAGTCAACAACTCCTTGACAGAAAAGTCTGATAACATTTCTTCTGAGTGTGTTCTTGTAATACAAAAAGAACCAGAAGTAGCTAGTGAAAAACTAGTACCAGTAGTAGTAATCCAAAACAAGGAAGACTGGTTGAAGAATATTATTCAAAGAAACAACAACTTTTAAGTTTTAGAAAACATGTTAAATCATGAAAACAAAGCAAGTGATAAAAATGTAAACAATAATAAAATCAGTCATGTGCCAATTACTAAAGGAGAAACAAGTCGTACTACAAAGGAACAGCACAATCACAGACCAACTTTAAGCTATGCATTAGCTGCCAAACAGGGCACAAACATGCAGCAAAATTAAAAAGGGGAAAATCAACTTTTGTAGTTTTTTCTTCTAGGAACCAAATTAAATTAAAAAACAATAACATACTAATTATTGAAATTTCAGATCTTCATAACTCTTTCAATTAAATCATGGCCTCTTTATATAAAGGTTTGGAAGGAGATATCATTGCAGCCAAACAACACTTTAAAAAAAAATTAAAAGCTTATTTAGAAATTGTCTTTCCAAATCAAGATCAATTAGCATATTATGCCACTAATAGCATTAAAATTTTTAATGAAACATATTATGGCTATATTCCAACAGATGCTTGTAAATCCTTCTTACCAATTAAAGTAAGAAACATACCATTAAGAACCAAAAAACACATCTTCAGCTTGGTAAAAGAAGTCTTTGAAAATTTTGAAAAAATTGTCTCAATTAAACCTTTACTTATCAAAAGCACTCCTTACATGACAGATCAATGGATCATCATCTTCTATAATACTGAAGACTCAAAATTAGAACAAAGAATTCCTCATTTCACATATATAAATAATAACAGAGTAACTACTAAGTGGAAGGAGGCACCAAAAGTCTGTTATTTCTGTAACCAAACAGAGCATATTAAAAAAGACTATGCATAATTTCAAGAAGCAAAAAATCTAAGATTACATTATCAAGAATTCAAAAGAAAAAGTATACAAAACAGAGTACCTATTAAAAACCCAACAGATATATGGAAGAAGTAGAAAACCTTTTAACTTAAGAAGAAACCCAAAACATGAACATGAATAAAACCTGCTTACAAGAACAAGTAACAGAAAAAATTACATTAGATCATAATATGGATGGCAAAACAAATACTGTTTGCACAGAAATTTCCATTAAAAATAACCTTAACACAACACAAGGACTAGCAATTAACAACACAAATTTGGAAATGCACAATCAAATAGACAAGAAAAAGTAAACGACCCTACTTTTACATTAGTTGTATGCAAAAAAAAAAAACATAAGGATTCAAAGCTTTACAAAGTAATCAACAAAGAAAATTATTAGAATGATCCAAAGCAAAGAGCCAGTGAAGCTTTAAAACTAAATAATTTATTTTTAATGAGCTATCACTCAATCAAAATCACTATGTTAAATGTTAAAGGCTTAAACAATTTAGACAAACAGTCCAAAACATTAACATTGTTAAAATCTTATAGATTAGATATTATTTTTTTACAAGAAACAAATACTTTTAATTCTGCCACCCAACAACTTTTAAAAGACCAATGGCCTTTTGACTCAATCTGAACAGGCAGAACAGCAATATTAGCAAAAAACAAAATTATAAAATTTAACGACACCAAGATTTTACAAGAAGACAGAATAATCTCAATATGTTTCATATTTAAGAAATTCTCTTTACATGTGATAAATGTTTATGCACTACTAAACATCCTAAACAGAACTAAATTCTTCAACAATTAGGATATAGACAAAAAAGAAAACATGATCAACATTATCACAGGGGATCTAAACACAAACTTGAACCCAGATATCAATAGAATGAGTTAGGCAACTTCTCAAAATGACCTCTTAAGAACACTACTTAATGAAATCACAAAAGAATTTATTAACTCAGCTTCATTTTCTAAATAAAACTCCTTCTAAACATTTCATCAAAATACACATAACAACCAATTAATAGCCACTTGGCTAGATTACATCTTTATAGATAAAAATTACAGCCATCTCAAATCAGAAACTAAAACAAGATTTAGAAACTTTGATCACCTTCTAGTTAAATGCATTCTAAGCCTAGAACAAAAACCTAGGCACTCAACATTATGGAGATTCGACTCAAACTCTTTTAAAAATAATACTCTAAAAAAAGAAATCTTGGATGAAATCAAAGATGCTACTTCTGCAATGAGCTGGAACATGCATAAAATCTATATCAAATCGATCATAAAGGCCTTTAAAAAACCAAAAGCCTTAGAAGACAAAATAGAAAGACTCAACAAGAAAATTAACCAATTAAAAGAAATTATAGCCAAATCTCCCAGCCAGATGCACCTCTTTGTTACATTAGAAAACCTTAATCTACAGATCCAATCAGAATTAACTGAACTGGCACAAAGATGGCAACATCAATCAAAAACAAACTGGATAGAACTAGAAGAAAAATTAACTAAATACTTCTATTTATGTTTTAAAAGTCGAAGCTCATGCTCAGCTCTTACTAAAATACAAATTCTCTCAGCCCAGAAACAATCTAATAAAAAAGAAGTACTTAATTATATTAAAGAGCAATACTCTACAATATATAGCAAAGAAGAAATTGATAATGAAATAGCAGAACAAATTACCAAAGATCTCTCACAGGTCTTTATACAAATGAATAAAAAACTAACAGACCCTATCTTCAAAGAAGAAATTCTAACAACTATTCAAAAACTACCAAATAACAAGTCTCCAGAACTGGATAGCCTTACATATGAATTCTATAAACTTACAGAAGAACACATTATACCTATACTAGAACAAATTTTTAACCAAATATTAACCTCAGAAATAATATCCTTCTCATGATGCAAAAATCTAGTTATACTAATATCAAAGAAGTCAAAGGAACTATACAATATAAACAACTGAAAACCCATCTCACTAGCCAACTGTGATGCTAAAATTTTTATGAAAATTATCACCAACAAACTAAATATGATTTGTGAAGCAATTGTACCTCAATATCAGCAGAGCTTTATCACAAACAGATTAATCACAAACTCTGCATTAGACATTCTTACAATTTTAAGAAACCAAAAAGATGATACAAAAGAGCATTGGATGCTATTTGTAGATTAGCAAAAAGCTTTCAACAGAATAAGTCATGAGTTTCTTCAACTGGTACTAGAAAATATAGGCTTCAATAAAAAATTTAAAGATCTAATAAAGAATCTATTCTCTCAGCAAGAAGCCCACATTTTAGACTCAGAATATATCTCAAACTTCTTTAGAGTAGAAAGGAGGTTAGACAAGGAGACCCACTCTCACCTCTTCTATATGTGTTAGCATTTGAACCATTGCTAAACATGATAGACAAAAACATAACAGGAATCAAAGTCAACAACCAATCTTTCAAGTATACTGCATAAATAGATGATCTAACAATAGGCATTAGCTCTTATACTGATTAGACAACAATACTAGGCCTATTTGATAACTATGAAAAAGCTTCTAATGCAAAAATTAACAAGCTCAAAACTAATTTAATACCACTTACAAACACAGCAAGAGAAAAAACTCTCCCAGAAGAAACTCAATTTAAAAAACTAGAAAAACAAAACTATGTTATAGTTTTAGAATACAGCATTACTGCTAATGGCATACCAAAGAAAGGATTATAGCAAGAAGCTATAAACAAACTTAAACTAAACCTAAAAAAGCTTGCTTATAGAAACCTATTCTTAAAAGAGAAAATTATGTTGGCAAACTCACTGCTTCTCTCAAAAATCTGATATATTGCCTATTTAATGCTACCAAGCAAGAAGCAAATAGCAGAAATTAATAGGCTTATCACCTATTGGATCAAAAACAACTCCAAATTGCTTTCGAGGTACTCTACCTTCCAGCAACCATATGAACAAGAAGGCCTACAAGCATCAATAGTTAGCAATATGCTAGAAGCTAAACTAATCTTAGTCTGGATAAAACTAATCTCAAGTAATCTTTTGTGGACAAAAAGAAAAAGAAAAAGAATCTATCTTATACTTGACTAAAAAAGAAATATTTCAGCTATAAAAGCACTCTCTACACAACCAATCAGGACTAAAGCATAGTCTATAGAATGGAAATTCTACCTTTTAGCATAGAAAAAAGCTAAAGAAGAGATTTTTACAGAATCCAACTGGCCCTAGAATCTCTCAGAACTAGAAATAGATAAGAAAAAAGGACCAGAAATTATAGTTAAACTTATAATAAAACTTTTAAGAAAACTTAACTTCAAGATTACAAATCAATTAGACCCTATAGAGCAAACTCAAAACAACAATTGAATTCTCCAAAAAGCAATACTTAACAGAAAAAAGAACATCTTCTGGTAACTCTTTCACAGAGCCTTACTGCTAGGATATAGGCTTCATCACTTTGTAGCAACAAAAACAGGCGAATGCCCTTAGTGTTTAGAAAATATACAAACTATCGAACACTTTGCAACAAAATGCAAAATTAGTAAAAAAATCTGAATAGAAGTATACAAATTTCTAAAAACGGGCCAAACTGAATTCATACCAAACTTACTAGAAAAAATATTTCCAAAAAACATTACAGAGAAAACAAAAACATATAGAACCATATTATAGCTACATACACATACTATATATGAAATTTGGTGTTGTTACATTGCTTTTAAATGAAGAAATATACAATACCTAGAATCAGCAATCATAGCTATAGCAAGAAACAGAATCTTTAAAGAGATTAATTTACTATATGACAAAAACTTTGTCAAACCTATTTATAGAAAAATATACAAATATTTAGCCTAGTAAATCTTTTAATGTGTAAATAATAATCTAGCAGTTATATTTAATAAAAAGAGCACCACACATGCCTATGATGACATTATCTGAGATAGATAAAAAAAAAAAGCATTTAGAATATATAATACTTACTTATACAGTTTAGTTTTTTTATTATAGAATTAATTAGTTAGCCCAAAAAATGTTTAAAGGTCTACTTGTTTGAAAGATGCTCTTCATAATTTTTTAATCACTTCTTGCAAGTTTGACAAAGATACTTTATATTTTAATCTGGCTGTATTGCAAAAATCCTGTTGCTAAAAGTACTGTTCTAGAAAATCTATAGTATTCAGTACTTTATTATGAATAACTTTGTGCATTTCTGTACTGTCATTATTTTTATCACTTTTATCCTTTTCAGGTTCTGAGTTAATAACTAAATTTACTATTTTCTAATTACTTGATATCCTATATATTTTCTTTTCTTATAAATGGTTAATATATTTTTCAAGATTTATCATGTTTTGAAAATAGAGCATTTTAATATTTTTATATAATTCTTTTATCAATTCAATATTATTATCATTATTAAGCATCTTATTATTTTCATTATCATTCAGATTAACTGAAAAGATTCCTGTGTATAGTATTAACAATAAGTTTTGATAAATTAGTTTTTATGTAATTTATATTGACTAAACTTTTGTAAAACTAGTACTTTATAAATTATATAATGAAAATTATATAAAATTTATTTTATTAAAAATTTATATAAAATTATATGTATTGTAAGTTTAGTATTTTATAAAATCAAATTAAGTTTTAAATTTAAATTTAAAATTTGATTTAATTTTGTAAAGTACTATTATTATAATATTATAATTTTTTAATTTAATTTTATCAGTATGTTGAAAGCATTTTTTTTTTTTTTTTTTTTTTTAAGACTATACTTGTGGTGATACTTTATTGACTTTATATCGGGTTAGCTATTACAACTATTTTTACAAAGATGGGAGTACAGCTAGTCATGTGTGCAACTTTTGGTTGTCTATTTAAGTAGTCCACCCTAAGGTTCTATACTAGATGCCATACCTATAATCTACTAGAAGATCATCTATTTAAACCTTCTGATCATTTACTCTGTTATATTGGAATCCCTAACTTACTCTCTGTATATACCTAACTGGTATACCATCTGAGCAGTATGATTATCTACTCTTTTTGTACTAGTTCCTAGGCCATTATACATTTTAAAGTACATCACCTGCCAGTAAGATAAAGGGGGCCCCCTATTGTTAACTATCTATCCACTTTTAGAACACTAACATGGGCTACCCTTACAGAGTTTACTCAGACCCTAGTACTGACTTCACAGCATATTTCTAGTACTTTTAGTATACTCCTGCTTTGAATCCATACTCCCAATTCAGATAGCCTAAAAGGACTGTGACCTGTCTTTGGTATATTGAGGCTGGCCTAATATACTTTTCCTCCAGTCTGAAATCTGGCAGCCTAGTTGGTGATACTTCTCACTCAAGATTTTTGTCTGTCTGAATTCTTCACATTGGTATTCATTTTCTAGGTTTAGCCTTTATAGTAGTACTATCAAAGATCCATGTTACCTTTCTGCTCAGAATTTCCAAATAGGCTCTAGCTTCTCAATTCTACAGATTTACATGATCCAGGAACTTATTTTAGATTTGCACTGTCTGGTACCAGTTTGTATTCCTCTGTATAACAGGTTACACAAATGCTTCAGACCTGCCAGTCATGCTGATGCGACCATAGTTATAGATATCCTATTTTAACTGATTAACAGAATGCTGTCACCATAATACTGTCTATATATTACATAGATAATAATCCAAATTTTACCATTGGTGGGTTTTGAACTTACAACCTACTACTTGGAGGTATGACAACTTATCCACTTCACTAAGTTGCTACATCCTGTTGAAAGCAATTAAATATTATTTTTGATAACACTTTTTTTTATGCTTTAGCTATAAACTTAATAGTAGTAAGAATATTTATTTTATTATTATTTTTGGCTTTATATTGATTAAGCAACTATTTTATAAAATAAGTTTTATAATATACTTAAAAAAATAATGATGCTAGCATCTAGAAGTTGAAAATAAAATGTTGTATTTGATAAAAGATGGTAGACAGTTGTGTTTTTAAAATTTAAATTACTAAAAGAATAATATTTTGCATTATTTATTAGGAGAATTATTTTATAACCAGCCATCTTTAAATCAAAGTCTTTAAGCTATTGTTAAAATAATATAGTATTCATTTATGCTTTAGCACTACTAGCATACATAACATCAAGTTTGTTGCATTTGACACATTTGAAACAGCATGGATTAGAAAACTTTTTAATTACAAATAGCTTAATTTTATTTGTCCTATTAGCCACAGATCGAATAAATGAATAAAGGGTGAATAATAGGTAAGTAACAAGAAAAAAACTGCTATTATTCTACTCTATATTCACCAAATAATAGCAGCATAACAGTAGCATAACAGCAGAATAATAGTAAAATAACAAAAGGTTTGTCAATATGAATAACATAATAGTAATATAATAGCAAAATAATAGAAAGTTCTATTATTTTACCTTTAGTCTTTGTAACTAAAAGTAAAATAATAAAACTGTTCTATTATTTTGCTATTATGTTACTATTATGTTACTTATATTGACAAACCTCCTGTTATTTTACTGTTATTTTGCTGTTATGCTGCTGTTATACTGCCATTATTTGGTAGATATAGGGTAGAATAATAGCAGTTTTTTTCTGTTATTTATTTATTATTCACCCTTTATTTATTTATTTGATCTGTGAGCATTAATACAAAGTGTTACAGTTAATCACTCTTTTTTTTTTTTACCTTTAAGATTTTTTACTATCAGCATAGTATCTGGTTCAAGACTAAGAAAAGAAAAAAATAATAAAAAAATAAAAGCTAAATATTAAAGATTTAGTTATTATATAGGCTGTAAAAAATTAATAAATTTGCAAGATTAATCTATATTACATAATCAAAAGTTATGTGATATAGTTAATCTTGCAAATTTGGTTATTTTTTTGTAGTTCATATAATAACCATATTATTGTACAGTCTGATGTACAATTTATTTCAGTAAGTAAATAAAAAAAGCACAGTTTGTTATATAAGACCTGTGCAATTAATATTATATAACAAAGTAAAACCTAAGTTGATTTTTATTATTAGTATATAGGGTTGTTAAAAAGCTTGTTGAATCTAATCTTTGAGTCAACTTTATATAGACTTTTTAGAAATAACTCAAATCTGTTTTGGACAAAGTTCTATATGCATGTCTTTTGTTCCAATTTGTAATCCATATAATTAGTCAAATACATGTTATTTGTTTTAATTTGTAATTCATATAATTGGTTAAATACATGTTATTTGTTTAAATGATAATTAAGAGGCATTTATATTATTGATTAATTTTATTGAGATTTATTTAATAATTACATATACAAACTTAACTTAAGAACTAAGTTTTAATCAAAATCTCTATTTACTAAGTCTAAAAGAATCAGACTATTAACAGTTCTATTAGTATAAATATAAAAATAATGAATTTATGTTTTTAGATTACCTTTTTAATACAAATCTACAATTAATTAGAGTTAAAAAGTGGTGTGCATCAATAATATAACCACTTCTGATATAGGTTTTACCTGTTATAATATTATTTATCTTTATTAATAAAAAAATCTTATTTTATTTATATTGTAAATATCTTTCAATTTATATTTTTCTAATATTTCTTTTAATTTAGAAATTGCAGCTGCAATAACAGTATCATCTACAGATGCATCTTTGCCATGCTTTGTTATTTGTTTTAGACTAAGTTTTTTTTAAACTTAAACAATTAGTTATGCAAGAATTTGAGATTATATTTAAAGATTTTTAACAATTAAGCATAATATTTTGCTTTTTTGATTATAATATTATTACTTAGATAATTTGGTCCTGATTTTGAAAAATTTACTCAAGTAATGCATTTTCAAGATCTGGATATTGTACTGTTTTTTGCCTTTTTGCAGATAGATTGTTTCTAATATTATTTTTATTTTTTATTAGATGTCTAATAGTAAAAAATAAACATTAAGACTTATATTTTTTTTTACTCAACTAATGAAATTAATATAACTGATATTTGGATTTTTTCTTTATATATAATAATATCTTTTCTTTGTTAATTATTAAGTATAGTTTTTTCTTTCATTTATTAGTAGACATGTTATAGCTTATAATTTATGATATAATAGGTATATAAGTTTTTATATAAAAATATTATATAAGCAAAACTTAATTGTTTATTTTTATTAAAATTTATAAGCATTTTAAAAAATTTTTTTATAGAGTTTTATCTTATTCATTATCCAAATATAGGATTGTTAAAAAGCTTGTTGAACCTGGTCCTTAAGTCAACTTTATACAGACTTTTTAGAACTAACTTAAACCTGTTTTGAACAAAGTTCTATATGCATATTATTTGTTTCAATTTGTAATCTATATAATTGGTTAAATGCATATTATTTGTTCCAATTTGTAATTCATATAATTGATTAAATATATGTTATTTGTTCAAATTGTGATCAGAATATATTTATATTATTAGTTAATTTTATTAAGATTTATTTAATAATTATATATATAGACTTGACTTAAAGACTAAGTCCTAATTAAAGTTTCTATTTACTAAGTTTGAACTGAATAAACTAGACTTTTAATAGCTCTATTCAAATATTTAATAAATCATAACAACAATACTTACTGTATGAATATGAACTGCTTATCTTTTTACTGTTTTACATGTTTAAAAAAAAAAACTGTAGGCATAAATTTATAAGATACTTAAATACAAAATTGCCAAAAAATCCTAATATTATCAACAATAGATTTAATTAAAAGTCTTAATAATGTTAATAAAGTTTAATGAATACTTATTCATTGAATTCTATTTGAAGTTTTATTGATTATTTCTTAATAAATACTAGAATTTTTGTTTTTATAAAACAGGAGTAAGATTTTGTACAGATTTTACTACTATATATTGTATGTTACTATAGTAAATAAATTTTTAATATATATATTTTTTTTACTTTTAAAGCAGCAATCTTGCCTGTATGTCTTTTATTAAGTAATATATAATTATATTATTTATATACAAAGTCTATTAATGAGGCTACAATTAGCCATACATACAACTTTAGTTATTGTCTATTTAAAAGCTCTGTCTACAGGTTATCTGCTAATTGTCATACCTGAAATCTGCCTGTCCTATTTAAAGGTAAAGGGTACATAAATCATTTTTATATAGTTTTATATGGTATTTTGAAATTTTTATATAAAATTGAAATATACTACTTATAAAACTTTTTTAAATTACAACCAATTTTTATTAAAATTTCACAAAATATAAATAAAATAATTTATCTATTATGATAAAATTTTAAACTATTATTATATTTAAAAAATATATACTTATATATATCACCAAGTTTTTCTAGAACAGCTCAAAATTTTTTAGGTAGTACAAGAGTACTAAATTTGATTAGTTAATTTATATAACCCTATAAGTTAATTTAATTAATAAATTTTTATATCTAATCTTTAAAAAGTTATATTTTACTGAGTTTTTAATCAAATTTGATAATTTTACTATAATTAAAATCAGAAAAACCTGCTCTACAAACATTTCTTATAAATTAATATTAGTTTACTTAATATAATTTTTTATAAAATTAAATATAAAAAAATTTTAACATTGAGTTTATATATAATTTTAATATATTATTCTTTACCTTTAAAGTCTCTGATTTTTAATACTATTGCATATATATGCAACACCTACATTACTATTATAGTAACATATCAGGCTAGGGCTACCTAATTACTATTTATATTAAGATATCATCTTATTGAATATTACCAAGTATCTATAGCCCTTGATTTACTCTTGATGCAAGCTTACTAAACTAGTACCAAAATTACTACTTAGATTTAATTTAGTGTAACCTATATCTACTAAACTGGTTTTAATGTCAGAAGTGTTCAAATTTCAGTAAGTCTATTCTTTTTTTGTAGTTTTCTTCTATGTTTACTATATCACTCATTAGTGTACTTTTTATCTATTTCTGGTATATTCACTGCTTTTCTTGCATTAAGCACCAACTCTCTATTTGGAAAACTTCTTTTCAGGAACTTCCTTATATACTAATTTTTTATTTATATAGACTTAGTCACAGGGCTTTACATATATTCATATGCTTTCATAGATTACAGAGTTTTGCCTTCAGCTAGAATTAAACTGTTAACCTTGTTTGTAAAGGAAAGAATGCCTAGACTACTAGGCTACAAAACTTTATCCTATGAGTTTTTAATATATAAATTAGTTTTTTTTTATTTTTACAATAAATCATAATACAAATTAATACACTAATGCTAAACCTAACTAATCTATATTAAATATATATAAATTTTAAGATCAACTCTCTTCTGTAGATTTCTTGACCAAAATTTTTAATAAACAAAATATAGAAAAGCTCAATAACTAAACTAGAAACAAAACTCAAAATATTAACAAAAAAGACAGAATAGCAAAACTTGTACATGGTTTAATAGAAAAATATAAAAAAAAACTAGAATGATAGCAAAGAACAGCATATAAGAATTTTTGACAAAAAGTAGAAAATTTTTAAAAAATTAGAGAACTGTTATAACCCTGTATTATAGATCCTTCAAGGTATACAAGAAGTTACAATAGGATTAACAAAATAAACAAACAAACATGTATATTAAACTAGTTTAGTCTAGATACAACACATAATATAGAAGCATATAGAAAACAATTATACAATATGAACAAAAGTTTGTCAAAAAAATATAGAGGAAGTTTTAATGCAATTTTTACAAGAAAAGCATATGAGGCTATAAACAGTGTGCATAATAAAATCTTCTTTAATGAACTAAGCAAGGCATATGTAATATCTAGCAAAGAAGATTATATTGTTGCAGTACTTACAAAACAAGACCCAAATAAAGTAGTGCTTTTGCAAATAACAAAAGAAATACTAAAAAAAGCAAAAAGAAAACAATCTGAAAAAAGCTTGATTTTGTAGAATAATACCAAGATAGAATAAGTATAAAAAAAAAACAACAACAGACAGATAAGATAAAAAAAAAGCAAGAAGAGCTAAAAAAAGA